TGAAAGATGAAATATAATAATATAGAGATAGAAATTAACTAGCTAAGCTGTTCCTCATTTCTTACGTAGCATCTACAGTTCTAACTTTTTCACTGGTATTAAAGTAATATGAATGTAAACAACCGCTAAAAAATTCAAACGGTATCAAAAAGTAAACAGTACTAAAAAGCTACATCCTACCCCATTCCAACTGCTTTTCAATTCTTTTAGCTATATTTACATACATGATTTCTTACGTAGCATCTACAGTTCTAACTTTTTCACTGGTATTAAAGTAATATGAATGTAAACAACCGCTAAAAAATTCAAACAGTATCAAAAAGTAAACAGTACTAAAAAGCTACATCCTACCCCATTCCAACTGCTTTTCAATTCTTTTAGCTATATTTACATACATGATTTCAAATAATATTATATACTATTATTTCTTCATTTGATTGTTTTGCTTTAGATAACAACTGTATTCCTATTATAGTATGCGAGGCTTTATCTGTCTAACCACTCACCCCACATCTCTACCACCCCCACCACCCCCACCACTCTCTCTACAATCCATCCTCTCAAAAGTACATCCACTATTATCACAATTTGTGATTAAATCAATTCTATGTGTTTACCTTTATTATGACTGCATAAATAATATTAACAGCACAGCCAAGTATACTGTGATTATATCACACTTCTAATACTCCCTGGATTTAATCATAGCGTCTTTTCTGTGCTTAGCTGTATATATATCTGTCGCTAATTTTTTCCAAATACTTTGATAGATTTGTTTTTCATGACATTTTCCACAGGACCAATAGCATCAAATAACCTATCATCATCACTCTCCCACCTCTACCTCCCAGAGCTTTCAACTTGAACTGGTTGTTCCCTAACTTTGTTATACAACTAATCTTTTTATGTCTGTTCACTGTTATTTTGTGTCACCCTTTTCCCAAATCCCGTATCTTCCACTTTTTTGGCTTGAACATCAAGTAGCTTCCAGAAAGCAAGTACATAAGGGATAAATTTTGGGAGACTTGAATGTCTAAAAACGTCTTTATTCTATCTTACACATGATAATTTCAGTCCAATTTGAAAATAATTTTCCCTTAGAAGTCCTAAGATTTTACTTCAGTGTCTTCTAGCTTCTAGTGCTACTGTTGAGAAGTCTAATACCATTCTTGATCCCAATCCTTTGTAGGTGGACTTATTTTTTTCTTTTTGAGAGTAGATTTTAGATCTTTTTTCTTTAACCCTACTATTCTGAACTCTCATGATTATAAAGCTTAGTGTATATCTTTTTTCATTCATTATGCTGGGTACTTGGTGAAATCTTTCAAACCAAAAATGTATGCCCTCCAGTGCTGAAACCTTTTTTGGGTATTATTCGTTTGCAACTTTTGTTCTGTTTTTTCTGTCCTCTCTTACTACAACTCCTAATAGTCAGATGCCAGACCTATTTTCATCTCCCAATTTTCTTATTTTTTTCCTCTCCTATTAAACATTCCCTTGCTTTTTTGGTCTACTTTCTAGGAGATTTCATTAAATTATCTTTCTACTTTTCTACTCAATGTTTTATTTTGTCAACTGTCTTTTAAATTTGGAACAGTCTCTGAACTTGCCTTTTGAAAACGATATTCTGCTCTTATTTCAAGGATGCATTACCTTTTCTTCTCTCTGGGGATACTAATTATATCTTTCCAAAGTCTACTTCTCTTCATCTTGTCTCTGTTTCTATATTAACTCCTCCTCCTTTTTTTAATTAAACATTTTGAGATAATTGTAGATTCATATACAGTTTCAAGAAATAATACAGAGAGACCCCACGTTCCCTTTACCCAGTTTCCCACAATGGTAATTTCTTGCAAAACTAGTACAGTATCACAACTAGGAAACTCACATTGATACAATCCACCAATCTTATTCAAATTTCCCAGTTTTACATGTACTCATATGTGTGTATGTTATATGTGTTTCAATTTTTTATTACATGTGTTGGTTCATGTACCCATCACCACAGTCAAGATACAGAACACTTAGTCCCTTTTTGTTGTTTTCATTTCTGATTTCCATATTAGACATTTTCACAAAATCTATGGTGCTCCTCTACTCTATCTGATATCCCTGAATCTGAAGCCTCTCTA